AACCAGTGCCTGAGAAAAGGTTCTTAGGGAGAAAGAAGTCTTTATTGGTAAATCTACCAAGAATGGGGCCTGGACACAGGGTATAAGACATGGTTCAAAATGAGAGGAGTCCTTTACATGTGTGTAATATTATTGTGCATTTAAGTGGGTACAGCATAATCATCAGAAACATGGGATTTTAATCAGAAAGACCTGCGTGCAAGTCCTGGCCTAGCACTACTGTGAAAATTTGGGTACATTACCTGACCTTCATGGTGATTTTCTCTGTTTTAAGATAGGAGTCACAGCCTGCATGGTGGTGCACACCTGTAATCCCAGCACTCGGGAGGCTGATTCAGGAGAAGTGCAGCAAGTTCAAAGCCAGCTTTGCCTACAAAGTGAGATCAAGGCCAACCTGAACTGCATAGCAAAATCTTGTCTCAAAAAGACCAAAGAAAAAAAAGATAGGATCCACAAAGTCTCTCACCCCATGGAGTGTGTGTGATAATTTGACAAGGTCATGTGATGAGCATGTAAACAGCCTGTTCATCCCAGACCATAAATAAGTACATACTATTTATACACAGATGTTCCCAGCCCTGGGTACTTGCCAGAACATTCCTTCCCATCTGTTCTGGTATATGTGGATTTGGCTCTTTCTCTATGGCTGTAATTCCACTGCATTATCTTCTTTGGACTCTGACAGGACCTGGTGCCTCTGCCTGGCCAGGTTGAGGGCAGAGGGAGCTGGAGCAGGACGACTGCCTTCCTTTAAATAGCAGCTAGAGCCCAGAAGACAGATCACACACTGGGCAAAGTCCATTGAGCCATTGCTGCCATCTTGGAGGGAGCTACAGGACACACGGCCCCTCCCTGTCCCTGGCTGTTGCCTGGGTTAGCTCCCCTTCCATCCCACAGTTTGTCTTCTCCTCTTCTCCAGCCTGAAAACCTCAGAGAGTCATAAGGAAAACCTGTCAGAGACACCACTGTTATCATGGCACATGCATCGTCCCCATGGATTTCCGTTTCCTCTAATCTATCAATTCTTACCTGCATACTAGACCTGAAGTAGCAGCGCTAAATGCAAACTATCCACTGGAGGAGCCAGTGAGGGAGAAGAGGAGGTGTGAAAGAGACCCAGGGATCTCCCAACACTGAGTCTGTGCAGATTCCCATCCTCACCCTCTTCTCAGGGCCCAGGTATTCACTTCCCCTCTGCCCTGCCTCCTAGCCAGGCCTTCAGATGGGGACAGGACAAAAGAAGAAGAGGAGAAGTAGAGGTCAAAAGAGGAGACAGAAGCAGAGGAGTGAGACCACACCCAAAGAAATTACCATAACCAAGGACTGGATCCAGTTCCTGAAAGTCACTGAAAAGAATCTCCGTGCAATCAAGGTGGCCAAAATCAACCTTCATTCAGTAGCCAGTGCCATGGCCCTCACACCCTTTGGCAATCTCACTCCATAATGGAAAGCAGGGGCAGAAAGCCCTCATAGCCATTGCTCTGAAAATCACAAAAAGAGTCACACCAGAGGTGCAGGCACCACTGGTACCTTTCTTCTGATGAATGTGCACAGCCTTGAGGAAGAGTGAACGCACTTACATGATGGGGGAAAGGCAGAGTTGGCTGAAACCCGCCACTGCAGGCGCAGAGCTGGAGGGCAGGGTGGAGGACCTTAGTCAGATGCATTGGAGTTCACAGTCAGGCTTCCTTCCAGGAGCCCATTCCACAAGAATTGTAGAGATCAAGGGAGATGTGCTGGACAAAGGCACGGACAAGTGGAAGCATGTGAATAGAGAGGAAAGCAGGGAGGTCAAGTCTATAGAATGGGGTGTTAAGGAACTTGGCATTTCTGTCTGAGTACAACCAAGAACCCAGAGCCTGAAATAAGGGACAAGAGGAGGCTAGAGAGTGGGGGTAGTGGAAGAAAGAGCTCACTTTGAACTGAGGAATCCACTGGGGAGCTGCTAGAAACAGACGCAGGAACAAGCAATGGGAAGGTCAGAAAAACTGAACAGCTACACATGGGAAAAGCCAGAGTTAAAACTGTTGGAGTGCAGAAAAAAAAAGGTGGGGGGCTGGGGATTTAGCTCAGCGGCACAGCGCCTGCCTGGCAAGCGCAAGGTCGTGAGTTCAATTCCCGGTACCAGAAAAAAAAAAAAAAAAAAAAAACAAAAAACCAGGGATTCCACTTTCCACCCTCCTCCTACTTTCATGTCCTAGCAAGAATACAGTCTACCCATGGTGGTCTCTAACTCTGTCTTTCCACTGTCATTTTACCCTTGTCTCAGTCAGACAGTGACTTTTTGAATAATGATCATGGTTGTTGTAGTCCGTGGTTTTGCAAGGGGAACAGTACAATACAGGACACTTAATTATAAGATTACTTTATAACACTCACACAAACAATCATATACAAGAAGAATGCAGGAAATCTCTCCACACAATAAAAACCACAGAATGCAGGATCCCATGATAATGTCCTGAATGAGCCAATCTGAAGACCTAGAGCCCATTACAATGCTCCCCATGAGCCCAGCTGCAGGCCAAGAGCCCACCACAATGTCTCATGCACGCCTGTTTCATGGATCTGTGCCGGGAAGGCCCGAAGGTCAGTCGTGGAAGCTAGAAAGTCTATGCCAAGGGGATGAAGAATCTGTGCTAGCAGACTGAGGGATCTGCACTGGAGCCAGGAAGCGATGCTCAAAGTAAGAACCAGAGCTCCCATGAGATGTACCATGTAGAAATTTTAACTATTTCATATCTGACAATCTAAGTAAGCATTGGCTTATCTGCCTATGGAACTAAAATTTGCGATACATACCAACCTCATCTTCTTCCAGTTAGGTCTCTCTTACAAAATATTTCTGATGCTAGCAATAAGGAACTTCTAATTCATATTCTACTTCTTCAATAAAGTCTTCAATAAAAAAAAGAGATGTACCATAGCCATGCTCAGCAGCAGTGAGGTCCCAAGCTACTCTTCCAATAACAGCAGCCAACCTCCCATCGGCAAAGCCAATGTGACAGGCTTCTCCTGAGCAGTGAGCAGTGCACCATCTATCTTCCCCTCCAAAGCCAGGAAGCAATGCTCAAAGTGAGGACCTGAGCTTCCCCAAAGTGAACCATAGCCATTCTCAGTGAGAAAGGTCCCAAGTTCATTTGACAACGAGAAGAGCTGAGTTCATCAGGAAAGCCAGCATGACAAGGTCCTCCCAGAGAACCAACAGCTCCCTACAGCTCCTCTACTCCAGTTCTGCCACTTGTGCTGCCAGCAATAATCCTCAGGTGGGCCTCCCATGGCCAGCATCACACTGGTTCAGTTCACCTGAGTGTTACAAGTTGACCACCAGTCGTCATTCCACCACAATGGTGAAATGATGAAGGCAGAGAATGTGGAGCGCTTGGTAAGTAACCAACCCCCAATGGGGCCAGGGTGCTCTGAGGGACCAGTGGAATTCCAAATGCAGAATTGGAACAGTGGTTGACTTGGGGTGGAGGGAAGTAAAGTGAAACGAGATATAAAGAATGGATCAAGAAACGATATAGTGGGTAGAGATCAACAGGTGAGGGTCAAGAAGTACAGCCTATCTAAGCCTCAGTTTCATCATCTTTTGGGAAAAAGCGCGTTGGCAAGATGATATGTCAGATCCACCTGGCTCTTCTGTCTGGTGTTCTATAGGCTTTTGTTCAGTCAGTATTTACTATTTGTTCTGGGAAAATTGAATGCAAAATAACCAACTTTCATAGGTATAAGTTGCCACGAGATCCACTAAAGAAGCAGAAACTTCCAGGATTTGAAAAACAGACAGAGAGCTAGATCCAGGACTGCAAGATCTGTCACCTTTAGTGGAGAACTACAGAAAGAAGCGTGGTCCAAGGTAACAGTAAGACTGGTGGATCCCCACAACTTGTGTCAGGTTAAAGAGATTATATAGTGAGCAACATAAAAATGAATTCATCCAAACCACAATGGGACTGCCTTTATCTCAAGCTAATATCAAGGAATTGGGTATGTTTCTTTCTCAGACATCACCAGGATCTGGTAGTACAGGCCCATATGTCACTCTGTTGGTTATGGGTTTCTATAATATGGTGGGAAATTATACAAGGAAGAGAAGGCCAGGGTTAGTCAGGGACAATCCTGTCAATTACATCTCAAATTTGCAGTGATGCAGTCAAGCTGGATACCCATGCTCACACACTGATCTTTCACTTTGCTGACTGATTGGCTCACATGGGCACCATATGCCAGGTTTTTTGGAACCTTCTCTCTGGGTCTCAAGAGACAAGTCCTCCATCAGCTTCCTACCCACAACCTGGGCTCCTGCTCTCCCACCACTGACTTCCTTCAGCCTCTGGCACCTGCAGCCCACAACACACCCAGATGAAGCTCATCCTGTGTGACTGGGGCTGAGCATAGGTGCATTCTCCATTCAACAAACAGAGGCCGGGATTCACAGCAGCACATGGGGTGGATTAGGATGGGAAGGGCCTGTGTGCAGGTGGGTGAGACACTCAGCAGGAGGGGGACACAGAGAGACAGTTACACAGCAAACACCTCATCCAAATGTCTCTCATGTTTCACCTAGACTCCTACAAGAGCTTCCAAAATGCTCTTTGTGGCATTGCCCCTGTGTACTCTCCACATTGGGTCAGGTTGGCCCTTAAGGTTATAAATCTGATCAAGCACCTGCTTTAGCCCTCCAGCCACTTTCCATTATTCTAAGCACTCAACTCCCAAGACATTCTGCAGGCTTGAGGGACCTGTCATAACCTGTAGTCTCCATCCGCAGAGCCAGAGGCAAAGCTGACACAGAGTTATCTATGAGCTGATTCTGGGAGCAGGACTGAGGGACTCGGGGAAGTGACACAAGAGAAGAGAGAAAGACAATAAAATGGTATACCTTTGATTTGCTCACCATATAGGTGATCAGCCCTGCCAGGACTGTCTGAGGAGTCTATAGCAATGTCCTCAGTATCCTCCTCTCCAGGGAGGGAGGAAGGAAGCTCCTATCCCACATGGACTTGCCCCAGTGGGCACTGATTCTCTATGACTCCAGTGGAACACGTGAGTCCTGTGGGACTCCAGAGGAAGAGCCAGAGTCACAGACAAGACTCTCGTGCCACTCCCGAGGTGCCCCCAGTAGGTCTCCTGATGCACATGATCCTGCAGAAGACTTTTCCCACTCACTCTGAGCCTCCATCAGCCACAGTGTCCCTGAGCCCTTCCACTGATTCTTCCATTTCCTCCTGAAGATGTCACCAGAGCCACATCCACCCACATGCCTCATCACCTGAGTACTGTGACTCACTTCTTCTGAATTTTCATTGGTAATTGATTGAGTGATTCCCATTCCTTCCTAGATTTCTCTTGGGCCTTTGGGTATTTCATATACTGAGCCATAGGTTGTTCAATAATCCATCCACCCTTCACCCCTGATCCCTGAGGATTAAAAGTCCATGGTGCTAGTAATGCAGTTCCCCAGTGACACTTGAGTTAGTTGGGTTCTTTTGCCTGTGACACAGAAATGGAGTCTGACTCACATAAACAAAACAGAAGGGAAATCAGGGGCAGAAAGAGGATTTGAAGGGAAGGGGCAGGAAGGGAAATCAGGGGCAGGAAGGGAAGGGAAGGGAAATCAGGGGCAGGAAGAAGATTTGAAGGGAAGGGAAGGGAAATCAGGGGCAGGAAAAGGATTTAAAACAGAAAAAGATCTATAGAAGCCACAGACAACAGGAGTGAGGGTGGGTCCAACTTGAGGAACTAATGGCCTTCTCTTGAAGGGTTGTCCATCCAGTGTTCAAATTCAAAATCCTCAAGTCTCTGTCTCCAATGAAGAATTCAAATTCCTAGGAGACAGAGGTTGGGTGACTGTGTTCTTGCACCAATCAGTCCAGGAATTGGAAAGAAAGATGCATGATAGAAACACACACCCTGGGGTAAGGGAGTGTCAGATCAAGCAGCCACCTGCATCTGTGCCAAGAACAGTGAAGTCCCCAACTACCAGACACACATGTGCATCCTTCTTCGCCTGCAAATAAAAATGATTGTCCCTAACATTTCCTCTAAATTTGGAAGGAGACAAGGCTGACCACTCTAAGTATTCTTGTTCAAGGTGTCTAAAAGTGAAAAACAGTTCATGTTTGGGTTTCTCACCTGAGTTTCTGGATGAAAGCCATAGATTCTCCCCTTCCCTCAGTTTCCTTCAACCTTAAATCAGATCGCTTATCCCTTAAATACATCCAATTGTTTTATGTCTATTTAAACTAGGAGAGATTGAGCTCATTCCAGAATGATTTTAGAAGTCCAATTAAGTGGAAACGTGAATGCATTGCAAACCATAGTGTGTGGTTCTTGAGTAATTACCTATACTCCTCCCTCAAAGGTTGGGTGAGGGATGACCATTAGGTCACGTGAACATTTGCCTAAGATGAAACATTCCCAGGAAGGGTAAGGGCTGTGGTCCAGCTCTGTCTTACAGCCCCTTCTGTAGCAGAAAAGCAGAAAAGTCCCCCAGCAATCCAGCTGCATGTCTTACTGACCTGGAAAGGTAGCAAAACCATTAACACTGGCCTCTCCCCCAAGGTGCCATGGAGCAGAGCAGGGGGCTGGACACTCTGCTGGCCGTTGCTGGAAGAATCTCAGAGGTAGCCATGCATGACAACTCCATGTGGGGAAGCAGGTACTCTTGGCAGAAGAATCTATAAGAGCAAATGTCTAGAAGCCACGTGGACACCACATTCCACAACAGCAGGAGACCAAGCATGTAGCAAGTGTGCAGAGCGTGCGAGAGGCAACACTACTGCTGATGCTTCACAAGGGTGAGGCAGGCATGCTAAGGGGATGGGCAGAGAGGAAGGAGGGTGGGTACAAGCCCATGATGGTATGGAGAGTAATCTGTGGAGGGTCTCAAACTCTTTCAGTGGTGGATCATCCTTCTTGAAGACCATAGATGATCCCACAACCAAGGCAAGCTGGGCTGGGACAGAGAATGTGGAATCTGAGCTTGTTTCTCTCAGTGAGTAAACAAGTGCAGGGGTGAGGGTGGTGCCCCGCAGGTCACGTTTGCGGTGTGTGATTATGCACTGCTCAGAAATTGACTTGCACTTTCCATATCTTGGGCCTGGCTCTGTCTGCTAGAGGACAACACTGGTCCCTACACAGCCCACAGCTGGTGACTGGACCCACACAGCTCAGGACGGCTGGGTCGTGTCCCAACGCAGAAGCAGGAGAAGGTCCCTTGGTGAGTTGAGGCTCCACACTATCCTCATCTTCACAACCTCTCTGTCAGTCAAAGATTTTGTGTCCATTTTACAAATGAGCCAAGAGAGTGTGGCTCAGTTAAGCAGAAACAGAGCCCGAGTTTGCACCCAAGTCTGCCTGCTCTGCTCTTCCTATAACTTAAGCTGAAGAGAAGAGAAGGAGCACACAGATGGGTCGCAAAGCTCTCTGGGCTCATGCAGCTGGGGCAAAGTGATCCTGAGGGAGGGTGGACGTGTCAGTGGCCATCCTTTGGGAAATTTGGAGAAACCAAGGCCATGGAGGAGATGAGGCGATCTAGAGCCCACCTGTGCTTATGGCTTGGCGACCCTCAGCCTGGCCTGCTTCAGAAGCCTGACGTGAGCAGTGCTTCTTTTGAGATACAAAGAGGCCAGAGGTTGTCTCACCACCAGTCTCTGAGGACCTTCCCTGCGCCAGGTCCTGTGGGGAAACTGAGGACCTGAGAGAAGACTCACCTGCCCAGGGTACAGGGAAGGAGCTGAGCAGGTAGGTGGGATCTGCGCACCCTCACGACATTCCCATGGGCTGACCACACTGAGATATATGCAGCCAGATGTTTGCAGCATCTGTCTTACAGGCTCCAAGGGTGTTTCTTTGGGTACCCCTTCCCGTTCTGTCCAAGGGTGGCCCATGATTCCCTTGTGGGAGTAGATAACACTATCGACTCCCTTGTGGTTGGATAGTTAATTATTTCCCTCTTTGTTTTTTGTCTTTGGATTGTTCTTGAGGCTTTGGGGATTTGGTTTTGATTTTGGTTTCCTGTTTACTAATTTCGGCTGGTCGATTGGTTGGTTGCTTGCTGTTTTGAGAAAGGATCCTATTATGTAGCCCAGGCTGGCCTTGAACTCCTCCTCATCTTTCTGTTCCAGCCTCCCAGTGTTAGGATCACAGGTAGGGGCCACTACGCCCAGCTAAGATTTTCTCTTTAGAGTTAAAAACAAAGCTGCTCTGAACACCAGCCTCCTATACTTGCACTTTTTTATTCTGTGGTTTATGAGCTGGAGACCTGGGCTCCGTGGCTGGGCCACATCTGAGGCACATTTCAAAGTCAGAAGGGAAATGCTGATTATGTTCCAAAATTCTGGAGCCTTTTACCCCGCACTTTTGTCCACTTTCCCATCATGTAAAATATTAAGGATACAGGAGGAGACCCACAGAAATAGACAGAAACTATTAAAATCTGGTAGAAGCAGAAAGGTACATTTCGTCAGTAACATGTGTGAAACCAGAGACACAGTCTTATATGTTCTCTACCAGAAATAACTGATGATGGAGACAGAGAAGAAAAGCAAATGGAATTCCTGAGCTGGGAGCAGAGCTGAACCTGTGCTGCGTTCTTAGAGGACGGGGCCCTGTGTCTAGTAAATGCCTCCCACGCTGGGTTTGGGGCACCTGGGTGGAAGGTAGAAGCCAGCCTGGGTGGTACTAAGTGCCTCAGGGGGGATGGAATTGAGATGACAGCAGGGCTCTTGCTGGGACACTCAGTCTATTGGGGAGATAGGTGTCCATGGAAGCATGATATGGACACAACCCAGGAGGGCGCCACATTCCAGAGGAGCATGGCAGTTCTTGGGGCAGCAAGCAGGCAGGAGGTGGCATGGGAGCTGGCCTTGCACAGAGGGGAAGGTGGGGAGGCATCCAGGGAAGGGCACAACCCAGCAAAGGCTTGGGTCAGGGGGTGCAGATCATGATCTATGTCGCGGTCTGGAGCCAGGTGTATGAGGGATATGAAGATGTGAGGAAGGAGGAGCTGAGGAGGGCAGGAGGACCTGCTTACTGGGTTCGGGGGCTTGAACTAGACCCTGGCAGGATTTCTTCAAGGAGCATGTTGTCTTAAGCCTTTCTCTCCTTGCCCAAGGAGAGTGCCTTGCTGCCACTGGGAGGGAGAGGTCTTGCTGAGCATCTCTTCCCCACTGCCTGTGGAGAGCTGAGGCCACCGCGGATAGGGAAAGGAGGGCTCCCTATCTAGGCTGTGCAGGTGGCCAGGAGCAGAGCCAGGCAGGTGACACCTGGACTTCCTCCCAACACCTCCCTTCTCTACCCACAAACAGCCTTTCCAGAAATTGAGCAGGCTGCGGGCTCAGCCACAAGGGTGGCTCACCGCGTCCCGGTCAGGCAGGAGGGAGCACTGAGCACATCAGCACACGGCTAAGGCCCAGGCGAGGGTCACTGAGCGCAAGAGTGACGTAGAAAGATGAGACCCAGGGTGCAGACTCCTTACTGTGGGGAAGTCAGCCGAAACCCTGCTTGCTCTGCCTGCGCACTCTTGCTCTCTGGTTTGACTCATGAACTTCATGTCTGGTGACCTCAAAATCCTACCGAATGCAGGGAAAAACAGCATCAAAACAGGAAGAAGGTGGGAGAGGAAGCCGTGTATCCTATCACAGCCATCCCTTAGAGCAGCAAGCCTCTCAGAAGCCCCTTAGCTGACTTCCTCTGTGTCTCGTTGGTCATGACTGGGACACATAGTCTCTGTGTCACCGAACCTCAAGCCACAGAAAAAACAGCCTAAGAGAGAAGTGTTGGGGGCAAAAAAGGCTTCACTCATTGACAAAAAAATATAAGAAGAAGCAAGAGCTTGCTCACGTTTCAGCTTCTTAATCCTGCGGTGTTCAGGCAGTCACAGGCATAGGACAGGAATAATGAGAGAGACAGACTAATAAAGGGGAAGATGATTTGAGCTATATCAGGGAATGGATAGAGATTGTCCAGAAACTCAGGAAATGCCCCTTTTCGCTCCTTTCATGGTCTCACATTTCCATTCAGGTTGGCTGGTAGAGATCTTTATCCATGAAGGAGAGGAAAGAGGCAAATTTAGGTCAAGTTAACCATGGATTTTAGCCCTGGATCAAAGATTTCTC